AAGCTAGTAGTAACAAGTGCCACGCTACTAGTAACAAGTGCATCGCTTCTAGTAACAAAGTTTCCCATAAGTTTCACCCAGCCCGTTTTCTGAAGACAAACACGGAGAGTCAGGCCATCAAAGAACAGTCACTACTTCAAGCGATGTTAATGGCCATACTACAATCAGATTGACCAAGCAAATATCAATTTCACCCTGCACCTCTCCAAGCATTTCCTTGTTCTCCTGGGGTCTTTGTGGGCCATGGGTCTTGTTCACCGGCACCTGGTGGGAGCCCTTGCCACCAGCGGTCTCCAGATCCTTCACGTCCAGAAAATGCATCATGTCTCACACTGATGCCATGGCTACGAACCTCTCTGAGCCCGAATTCGCCGGAGCGGTGGATGGTTTCAACCAGCTTATGGACTTCTCCCACCAAAATCCGCCTCATGGGATGGTGGATCTCGAAATATGTTGGGGGCTCTGAGCTCCTAGTTTCCAGCAAGCCAACACCGTTGATGAACCCTAACCCTAGTGTGATTTAACTCTGAGAATCTTGTTCTGTTGAGAACTTGGCCACTCTTTACACCCTTTGACTGGAGTGCCTTGTCGAACGACCTGAGTCTTATGAGGCATCAGGGCATCAAAGCGGCGCCCCACCCCGCATTGTCATATGCTTGGAGCGATGATGCTGGACAATATAAAGAGACCCAAACCGGCCCACTTGAACGCGCCTTTGTCTACCCCATGCACAGAAATCTATGCAGCCGATTTTGGCCGTGAAGAGCCTTTGACCATCACATCGGACCACTGACGCTGCATCGCATGCGACGCACCGGTTCCGACCAGCGCTCAAAGCGGCTCCAAGCAACATGATAACGAAGTATAACATGTCCCCCTCCCCCGTCAGAGAAACTCAGCGTTGGTGTATGTTGGTGTGGTTGGAAAGGAAGGAGTCATACAGTCATTCGATGTCATGCAACTCGATCAACATAGTTTCACTCGCATTCTGAAGGACCGGGTTGTGACAGAAGCATAGCACAGTTGTTGGCAGAAGTGTCCCATCTCTTTTCAGGGCCTGTGACGAGCTGTTTGTGTTCCTAGACAACCCCACCAGCGCATAAAGAACACACTGTTGTTGATAACCCCCCTGACAATCCGGCTCAAACCGGAAAGAGACTATTTAAAGCTCCTTGTGCGTTGCCATCTTGCAATTCGACCAGCGCGGTCGGCTGTCGACACATCTGTGGCTCAAATGCGAGGTTTGGCCAGTCCAAGAGGAGCCTCCTGTAAACTCTGTGTCATAGACTAAGCAACTCCACTGGAGGGGAAAATTGATAGGCTGTTCTCGTGTCTGACTTGCTTCTTCATCCAATATACATGTCGCAACATTGTACTGCTGTCTTGAAAGGCAGGATCTTCCCCTTGAAAGGCTGAGTTCATAAATTGAAACTAGGAGCAAGGAGGCTACTAGGGGCTCCTGGCCATACTACTAGGAACAAGAAACTTCTAGTGCGGAGTTCATAAATTGAAACAGATCGAAACATACCCCCCGATAATTATGCACATGCCGTCAGAGCAGAGGATCTTCGGATTGCAGTCCATCGTTATAGACCAAACATTTGGCAAGACTGACCTCTGACTCTACCCTCTGCCCTGAATGGCCGGGGTCGACACAAAATAGGTCGACGGATCAAAGGATCTCGAGGATTCCATGAACGGCTGCAGCTCGGAGAAAACGATACACTGTGCCACATTGATACAAAACACATGCCAAATCGATACTTCAATGTAGACCTTCCAAAAACCTCCAAATCCACTCTCTCTAGAAAAGAGCAATGTACACATTCGTTCTGAGTGATGAGCTCTGAGTGGGTGACTGAGGTCTACAGGCTTTTTCGGATCAAGACCAAACACATGCCACACGACATGGAGACTCTGTTAACCCTCTGACTCCGGAGTATGGTTCCACCGAGTTCCACCTATAACATCACAGATCCACAACAATTCTGCTCATCAGAATCAACTAAATGGTGCAGCTGAAAGACGGAAGAAACCAACCAAAAGAATCCCAAAGAGGCTTCCCCTAAACTCATGAGTTTTGGAGAAGAGAAACACCCTGTTCTTCCTGCGCCCGACCCGCTCATGCCATGCTCCCGCTCATGCCATGCCACCATCCGATTCCTCAGGCCGCCTGGGTCTGTTCCGGATTTCGACATGTGTCGATGTGGACTTCACATCTGAAAAATAAATACGATAAATGAATCACATGACTCTATATACGGAAAAACCGTATGTTACACATGCATATATGGCAATATGGCATGCCCCACAGGTCCAGGGGTCCAGGTCGTTCAGGTTGATCCATCGATTGAACGTGTCTAGCTCTGTAGACGCACTAGCAAGAGCGTCTGCCAGCGCGCCGTTTTCACCTAAGGCGCAGCACGAAATGGCTTCAGGCCTTGATCCAAGCGAACATGAACAACCATGTTCCTCCGCATGCCCAACACCGAAGAGCAAACTCAACTTTCACAGTTCATCCCCTTCTCTTGTGGCATTTGAGGGGTTGGGCAACGGCTGAACACGGTCACGAGCAAAGCAACAGGCTCCTCAAGCATCGATCGAGGATTCTGGAGCTCTCGCATGTCGACAGAGTCTTCCAACTGTCGCCAAATCACACTATGTTCGCTGTCAAAGCGGGCAAAAGTGGAACGAAACGCATGCGTCGTTCTTGAACAGCGTGGCTCTGGGGTCCTGTACGAACGAGCCTGACGGCACACGTTGACGGCCAAATCTTCATTCAAAACATGCCAACCTGAGCTCTGTGAGAGCTTCATCACATGGCCAAACAACGGGGAGGAGCTTTCAAAAGGGACTCCCATGTCACTTCTCACCAACCTTCCGGTCTGTTGTGAGTTAGCCATGGGCTTCTTACTTTTGGACGTCTGTTTGACGTACTGGGAGGAAAACTGTACACACCACTTGCAATCTTTCAGGATCTTGTGAAGGTGCTGAGGGTCAAGCTCCTTAGTGCCGCAGTCTACGATCATGTTCTCTGTTGCTGTCCAACGCATGCTCGTGTTGCATCGAGCCAGCATTGAACGAATCCAGCTTATGGTGAAAGCTAAACTCTTTTGGCTGCCATAGCTCGGCGTTTCTGAGCAGGATTTGTCGAATGCATCCTTGGCGTCGGTGACAACCAACAGGGGCACGGAATCCGTGCTAAGGTCAAAGGGCTTCCGGTCGAGTGGATGACCGAAAGCTTCGCCAAGCACGCCGCGGCAATATTGCCCGGCATCCAGCGCCTCCTCAATGCCCAACAACTCTGCGGCAAATGTCGATCTGCATACCCGGTTCAGTCTATGAGACCGGGCGTCCAACACTGTGAACTTGCCTTCTCTGCCGCTCATGAGGTTTTCGTCAGCAATGAGGACAAAGTAGGCGGCTTGACTATAGACCTTCTTGATGGCCGCTTCGTGGGAACTACCACTTTTCGTCACATTGCCAAGCGAGGCATCAGAAACAACGAGGATCCCCGCATTCTTCATGTCCAAGGGCTTGAAGTGCAGCGCGAAGTCTGCGTGGAGCTTTGCCTTTCTAACTAAGGCATTAGCGCGGATCAACGTCTCGATGGTCTGGGAAGCACCCTGCAATGTCGACAACTGAAATTGCAAGTCAAAGCGAACTTGCGCTACCAGCCACTGCAAACTCCCGAGGAGAGCTCTGAGCTGGCGTTGTTCCCCAGGCATCAAAGTGGCCTCTGGATTCTTCTTTCGAAGTGGGTTGATGCGCACCTGCTGAAGATTGCTATGGTACTCTTCCATGGAAACTTTCACCGAAAAATCTTCAGCTTGCTCAATCTTCTTCCCACAATAGGTTATGGTTCCGGTGGAGGTGGAACCAAACCCAAGTTCGGCACCCAGCAATTGCAAGGTGTGGTGCGCGCGAGGGCCTCCGGCCAGTAGCAAGTCATCCACGTGGGAGATGAGGATGCCTTCCAGTTTGGAGCCTTCCCACAGGAACCACATGGCCGAATCCAGAGCTGAAAGTTGCCAACCATGGTGTTGTACTGACTTGCATAACCTCTTATACCAACGACGAGGGCTGTCAGCTAAGCCAAATACTCCCTTTTTCACACGGCATAAGCCTGCTTCCGAGAATGGTAAGCGTGGCTCATCAGGTGCTCTGGTCTTCACGTTGGCGAGGTAGAGGATGCGTTCATTGGGGCCAAACTCTTCACCTTTCATGAATGCCGACTTGATGTCAGCACTTGCCAGCTTCCACTTCATACTGGCGGCAAAGGTCAGCAAAAGATGCTGAGAAGTTCTCGACGCTGTTGGAGCATCACAGCGAAGCCCATATGCACTAATGTCTTGGTATCCGGGGACGACCAGCCTGGCGTTAGCCTTGAGTGGAAGGTCCCGGTCTGCCGTCCTCAGTCCGTCATTCTTGTCCACATAGACGAAGCGAGGAACCAAGATGCGGTGGCTTTCACCTTCTGTCTTCAACTTCTGCCTAATGCGGGCAGCTTCGGCATCTGGAAGAGGTTCGATGGCTTCATTTTCAACCCATACTGACCATCCTTTGGCTGCTGCTTCACGGAACTCCTTTTTCTCAAAGTCCGACATGTGACTCCATACATGCTCCTTACGAGCAGTGAGCACTGCAAGCACTTCCTGAGCAGCATCATCATTGCCAAGGGGCCAAAGTTGCTTCAGCATTTGCCGTCGTTTGAATTCTGTCCTCGAGGGGAGAGGCCAATTGCCACGCCATGTCCCATGGTCTCGGACTCTGGCTTCCAAGGGATTTAGACGATCCTGTTCCGCCATGATCTGGATCTGACGGAGCGGATGTACATTGGCATAGGCTTCCATTTCCATCACTTCATGAGTCACTCTCAGGGCTTCGGAAGCTTCATCAGGAACTTCATCTGGAGGTTGAGCCGGAGTTGGAGCAACAGGGTCTGGTTGAAGAGCTTCTTCACGCAAGCGCTCAGCATCCAGTTCAGCAGGCCTCTTGGAAGCTTGTGACTCGCCGCTAGCACTTGGGGCGGCACTGGAAACGCTCTGCCGTCTCTGTTCAAAGGCAGCTCGTACAGCTTCAGGAAATGGAGATGTACCTAAGTCTGGCAAAGAAGAAGTATGCCGAGACCATCCTCTTGAGATAGGACCACCTTGAGCATTGCCGAGGGCTTGCGCAAACTCTTGAGGATGTAAAGGTGGTAGATCGGCAGGAGCTTCTTCAGGTACGGCCGAAAGAGGAACAGGTTCAACAGGTAGAGACACTCCCGTCATCGGTCCACCCTGTGCTTCGGGTTCAGCCGAGGTGGTTGTAGATGAGGAGGTCGTTGGTATCTGTCGATCATGGTATGCCGCATCGATGACTTCCTGAATGGCATCTTGCCATACCTCACTCGCAACTTGTTCCAGGGAGCTGGCTGGTCTCAAATGCTCAATAGCGCACTTGGTCAGTTGTCCTCTGAAACTCACATATCCATTCACATTGCCCTCCAAAGCGACGAGGAGGGCAGGGCCATGCCATCGCTTGAGACTGAGCCGTTTCTTGGATGCAGCTGTTCGGTTGTTGAACCGAGTTTGCCTGAAGAAGTAGACGATATCTCCAGGAGATAGGCCATGCTCTGCCGTCGGTCCTCGAGAGCGGGCTAGTTCAGCTCGTCGAAGGCCTTTGGAAAAATGAAGGCGCACCATCGCCAACCAAGCAGTCTCTCGCATGGCAACTTGTCTGGCCAAACTCGGCCGGGAGTCGATGAGTCCATGCTCACTCAAGCGGCGACCAAAATCACCAAGGCAATCTCCGTGCATCCGGGGTTGCTTTCCAAAGGCAGCTTGCATAGGAGAGACACCAGCGTCGTTGATGTCCGAGTTGTAGGCGCTTACTGCCTCCTGGAGACAAAGTTCAACATCATCTTTTCCCAAGGCCGAATGAGCCTTGATGCACGAACGAAGAATGCCCTTTAGGATAGCGCCACCGCGCTCACATACACCATTCTGCCAAGGGGCTTGGACCGCGGTGTGGTGGAGGTAGATGCTCCATGAACTGCAGAACTCTTCAAACTCAGCAGACACGAACTCTTTGCCCTGATCTGCTATCAGGACTCTTGGTGCTCCCAAGATGGGTAGCCACCTAGTCTTGAAGAAGCGCTCCACCATGCTCGAACCTTTTGTTTCCAAAACTTCAGCAAACTGCAGCCTGGAGACATAGTCAATGGCATGGATCACATAGAAGCGCTTTTCGCCAATGTCTTCAATCTCAAAGAGGTCCACATGGACCTGGTCGCCCACATCCTTGGGTAGTGGCAAGGTAGCAGGCCGTCTGGCCTTTGGGATCTTCCGCTCGTCGCAAATTGAGCATTTGAGGTGACGAGCAGCATGGATGATGTCCGGAGGGGCACCAGTGATAGCCAGTGCTCTGGCTAGGCGACGGCCAGATCGGTGGCCCGTGTTTTCATGTAGGCGTCGAAGAGCTTGCTTCACAGCAGCTGACACCTTGGGTCCAGTGACAGCTTCAGTGGACTCCTGATCAGAGTCACTCAGGTTCATGTCAATCGGCAGGGCGGTCTCATCTTCAGCCTCCTCACCGTCTTCGATGGCAAGGATGTTGTGTGGTCTTTTGAAGTCAGCTTCAAACTGCTTTTCCATGCCAACCACCAGGGCCTTTGCGAGGGCCCACGGATAGTGGCCAGCGGGCTCTGAAACAGCTTTTCCCCCAATGATATGACCATGAGGGTGATTGCCAAGACATTTCATGCCGTCCAGTTGGGAAAGGACCTCATCACTCGAAGTGGCTATCCTCGTAGCTTTCCGAAGTAGATCACCCGCCTGGTTCTTCAAGCGGAATCGGCATTGGTGGAAGACTACACAACGGGCCTCAAGTTGCTCCAAGGCTCTTTGCATCTCTTCCAGGGTCCATGCTCTAGAGGATTGAGGGTTCTCCAAAACAAAGTGACAACCACGACTCTTCTGGTCCTTGGCCAATTGGAGGGCGAACTGCAAGAGGGTGATCGCTTCCTCATACATCTTGGTGCCATTCTTCGGAGGGTTGAGGTTGAGTAACACACTCCAAAAGGAACAAGGAAATGCCAGCACCAAAAAGAAAGGACTTTCACGCTTCAGGACGGCTCTGGCAGCTTTGCGATCCAGTGGACGGAGAAAGTTCCATCCTGATTCCAAGCTCATTGAGGCTCCCACTCGATGTCCTCGTTTGCGAGCCGTCTGCGCAACTCGCTCCGTGTTTGTGTAGACCTCAGTGACAAAGGTCTTGGGGAAGCGGTCATTCTCAACAAGGTCGGGGTTCTTTGAAATCAACCTATTCTCAGACATGGCATGGGACTGAAAAGACTTCTCATCGCCAACGGTGAGGGTGGTGACAAAGATCTCGTTCTGGAAGTGGTCCATCGCTCGATGCCACTGCTCCTCATAGACTTCATTCACTTCCTTGGCACTGAGCGACACAAGGCGACGGTCTTTTTCATGACGCTCCCAAGCATCCGAAATCATTTTAGCCTGACCAGGTTTCACCGCCTGATGTATCCTCCAAGGATTCGTCTCCAGCTCGAGCATCGGTCTCACTGGTCGCGAGGAGGAATTCCATTGGCCTGGCGCCACTCCAAGTCGTCCTGGTAGTAGTCGCGGTTCATCTGTTGAATCTCGTCTTGGGTCCAGCCGAAGTCCATGGTTGCTTCGGTTTCCATCGGACCGGAAGTCATAGGTCCTGGCAGGTGCGATGCTTGGTGCAGGGTCGAAATGCTCTGGAGCACTTGGTTCAGCATCCCTTGGAACTTGTGGTCCTGCATGGTGAGGACTTCCTGTAGCTCTTGAGCGGTCACTCCAGGAGATGCCTTGGCCTTTGCGCCAATTGTCTCGGGCGCTTGAGAAGGTCTCGCCATTGACGTCTCGGGGACATGTCTTTCCGTTGAACTGGTCGATCCACTTGCCTTCGAGGGAGTTGGCTTTTGAGCAATCTCGGCAACCAAGGGGCGGCAAGCTTTCTTGAGATCTTCCACAGTCATTCCAGCCTGGACGGGGATGTTCAGGAGTGAAGCCAGTTTCACCAGGTCTGCCTTCAACGTTGGCAGGCCTCCCTTTGGGCCGATGAGGGAGCGCACCATGTCGTGCTTCTCTCCACGCTTGGTCGCGGCCTCGGCTTCGCGTTGGGCTTCCTGAATGGCATCCCGTTTCAATTGGGCCGTCAGGCCTTTGCTGGCGCGTGCCGCAAGCATTCCTTGCAACATGTTGTCTTCCATGAAGGCGAAGTTGAGGCCAGCACGGTTCCTGAATTCTCCCAAGTCCAGGAGGTTCTTGGTCGTGTACACTGACGGTTCTTGGGTTCGAGCTCGCTGCCAGTGCTTGACCATCAATGCCTTTGGCTTCTGGAGGGTCATAGATTCGGCTTGTTCTTGCCAATGTCTGGTATGGCTGATGCTGGGGTACGGAAAGGGCGCGTACCGCAGCTGCGGACGAGGCAACAGCCATAAGAGCAAGCCATGTGCGTGCCAAGCGGCCTTTGCGCGAAGGCGGAGAAGCATTCGCCGCCAGCGCAGCACCACCTTCGTGTAGTCGTTCTCGGTCAGGTCGAAGTGCTGGGCCGCTTCCATTACGATCCACAGATCCTGCGAGGTCTCGAAAGGTCGTCGAAGAGGATGTCGTCGGGGCTGAAGGACGTGTTTGAGCCACCTTCATAGCTTGAGCCCCGGCCGATGTCGCAGCAAGGATCGCATGCTCTGTCACAAGGTGCTCATGCGGTGCTTCGGAGGTTGACTCAAAAGGCACTTCAAAATGACTCATCTTCAATTGCAACTGTAAGGAGTTATCTTTGCAATGGGGTTGTCAAAATGAATGGGGTTGTTGAACCTGAGTGCTCCAGACTCTGTGGGTTCAAGGTGATTGTGAGTTTTAGTCCTTCTCAAATTGGTGCCAGAACAAGCGTCAAGAACTTTGTCAGAAAATGACACCAGGCTCAGGGCAACTATATACTAGAGATTTTGATAGAATGATGCCAGAAAAAGTGTCAAGAACTTTCGTTCCTGAACAAGAGGACGAACCTTGCCTCCTTAGAGGCTCCTCCGCTACCAAAGCCACGCCATGATGTCATCCCTGGCATGACATGATTCCATCCCTGGCATGACGTGATGTCGTCCCTGGCATGACCCCGTGTCACCCACGAAGGGAAATGAAGCGCTCACTGCTATGGAACACATGTATTGACAGACTAGCCTGACAATGGTGGTCATTGCAGGTTACACAAAGATGCTTTGCCGCCTGTTCTGGCATCGACTCAACACAATTCAGCTGGCCTGGGGGGCTGGCGCAGCAGGTTGATATGAAAGATAAAAAACGAAACTCGGCATGTTTCCACGTTAACGGGTGAAATTTTATGTTCGTGTGAATTGTGATTCGGAACATGGCTCGGGCCACACTGGCCTTCGACGACCGCGCGCTGTGTTCTTAGAGGGTCCTTCCAGAAGCTCAGGTAACACTTGTTTGAGAAAAATTGCTGCTAGCAGACGCGCTGGCGCGTGGCAACGAAACTTTGCTGACAAACAGTCGCTGGAACGAAACAGTCGGTCGCTTTTTGGAATTTCTGGGGCAACGTGTTGCGTGAGGTTTTGTTTCTTGGTTGGGCTGTCGCATCGAGAGGCTTTGCGGGGTAAGTCTTCAAGTCTGGCCGGCAACAGCAAACAGAAACGGCGGAGGGTACAAAGTCTTTTTTCGGGGGCGCCATGTCGGGCAATCATTGTCCGCAACCGAACCTGGGGCCTCAAGCCTTTTGAATGGGAACTAGTCGTCATTTGATATTAAGGCTCACCGTTTCATACATATGTTGTCTATTATGTGCTCCTTCACCTAAAGCTTCAATACGCGTGGTGAGTGTTTTCAACACCAGGAGTTTTCGGCGAAGCGGGCGGTGTAAGTTTCGCAACACAAAGGCAAGAACATTGCAAACCTTGACAAACTGAGGCGTTACCTGCGGAGACCCGCTTAAAGAATGCCCATCACTGCAGCAGTGCGATGTCTGTTTTGACAGCTCCCAGCATTTGTCTCGTCCATTGCACCAGTCCGGCGTGCCCAGCAAAAACAAATAACACACATCAAATTTGCATTGTTCAGTCAACGTCTTCAGCTACTTTCCGCCTCTTTGCGGGCAGTTCCTCAACACACTCATCAACATCGGCGGGAAGCTCTTCTTCCCCCCCCTCATCGCCTTCATCACACACATCGCCTGTCTCACCTACATCTACCGCAGGAAGTTCAGCCACTTCCTCAGGGCCCTGTGCAGCAGCAGCTGCACCTTCAGAAGGTTCAGCGCCAGGACGTCGAACCTTTCCCATTCGACGGAGAGTGGTCTCCATTGCCTCCTGCGGCCACAGACACACCAAAAGAACCGCAACAAAAATCCACTTCACATGAACCATGAACTTGGTTTGTTCGCTTTCTTGAGTAAACAGAAGCTGAGGAAGCGACAGCCACATCGCGAACAAATTCACGAGAATCCCCATTGAGCAAATGTTGACGGCAGATTGCCTCAACTTTTTCCATGCGCACGACGATTCCCCCCAAAAATGACCGTTTAAATGTGTGAGGCCCGAACAGCTATCTCCCGACACTTTTCAGTGTCAAGGTCAGCGCCTCCCACCTCCAACCACACTGGGTTCAAGGTAAAGGTACCATCAGGCAGTGTCAGGGTTGGATCAACCACTTTGTGAACAGCTAGTCTGGCCTGGAACGCTTGTGAGCCATTCAGCTTGCAAGCGAATTTGTTCGTGGCGCCGTAGTAGTACACGGACGATACCTTCCTCGGGCCTGCAAAAAAGTCACAAACAAACAAATGCGAAGCGCGCACATCCGCCAAGCCTTGGACTTCATCTCCTCCGTCTGGAACCTCTGGACCCAACCCACCTGAAGCAGCCGCAGCCTCACTTGAAGCTGCTGGGCGCTTCAACGCTGAGGCTGGCTTCTTTTTTGGCAAGACCTTCTTAGGCTGGGCCTTGCTCACAGGATCAGGGGCCACCTCTGCTGCACTCTTTGACTCACTGGCTTTTGGTTCTATCTCCTCTCTTTTCTCTTTTGGTTGTTTCTTGGCAGCTGGTTTCTTCTTGGCCTCAACTTCTCGCTTCTCTGTAGCAGTTGGTGATGGTTTGGGTTTCGACTTTGGCTTCGCTTTGGGGCTGGTCTGACCAAAAACATAAGTCTCTTCATCCGACTCAGACAGCTGGTTCACAGAAGCAAAAACGCTCATTGCAGCTTCACTTCACGGTGTTGGGGCTTGCTGGAAACCGGGACAGCTGAAAGCTGAAACACCTGCAGCCAATGATAAGTACAAAGCCTGGGCCACGCAGCTCAGAATCTGACGCGCTAAACGAGATACACCAGCTGGCCATTCTACAAACCAGTCTGAAAAAGAGACACCAATTCAATGAACAAATTATTCAGACTTTTTTCAATCACCCGAACTGCCAGTGGCTCAAGGTCACGCACAGCGCTACAAAATTGCAACTCACAACTTAGTCCACGTGTTCGGTGGAAGCGCGATTTTGCCCGTGAGGTAGATCTTTGGCTTCAAGCCCACGATCTTCGGGTTCGTTGATCCAGTTTGGAATTCCACCTCAAATGCCATTGTGAGGAGCAGCCGTAATTGTCTGCAGGACTGGTTGCACAATGGAACACGACCAATTTCAAACACCACTCTCAATTCCAAGAAGCATCCCAAATGACTTGGCACGCACTCCCTTTGGGCAACTTGTCCATTTGACCAAAGGTCGACCCGATCGACACATGCCTGCCGATCAGAACAGCCCAACCCCCTATACTCCAAAAAATGCAAAAAATGCGCAACACACGTCAACCCCGCATCCTGCCTGGCGTTCTCATTGGGCCCCAATACATTTGGGATGAACACGTTGCACACCCCATTCCTTGCTGGGGTGAGGTTGTACCTGTAAGGCACTGGGACTGCATCAGCCTCGGAACTCTCCTGGCAACAAGCACCGCTCCCAGGTTACAGGCAACTCTTTAAGTATTATATATACCTATATATATATACACATAACTATAGAACTGGCTGAACGTTTGCAAAATGGAAAGCTGAGGGTCTGTTGGGTATGTCTTGGGGTTCAGCTGGTGGTTGGCGAGTTCAACGTCCGCGACACCGTGCACCGTGGAGCAGTAATGCAAAAAGTCAGCAAGCGAGTACAGCTTCTTTTGGTACGCCACCAGTGATAAATCCGACCCAAACCTGAAGCAAACGCCTGACAGCTCCGATTCGCCCATGCCTCCACCGTGCCAAGGGCAAGGCAACAACAACAACAGTAGAGTAACAAACCCGGCAAACCTCCCACAAACACCGCCCACCTGCGATCGCTTTTTGCTGGTACTCGCCCGTATTGAAACCGCACAGTTCCATGGCTTCCAAAGTCAACTCTTGGTCAGATTCGTTCCCCAGGTAGATGGCCATGTCAGAGCCAACAACCAAGGCCGGTTTGCCCTTACCAGCAGCGCAATACGCCTTCCTGCGCAGCAAAACAAAACCTCAACCTGCCGTGCACAGCCCCTCACACCTACATTGCACAACACCCGCCAAGCCTGGTGACATTGAAAGCGCTCTGAGGAATATGATCCCTTTGGATGGCAGCTGTGGTGTCCAACGGTTTCGCACCACCTTCAATCGAGTAGTCCGGACGGCCGCTAGCCCTGTTCCCAGCAAGACGACCTTTGGAAGCCCTCCCGGTCTGAGTCTGCTGGGAAGCGCTTGGAAACTCTGTCAGAAGCTCTTTCTTCATTGCTAGAATTTCAGCAGCAGCGGTGGAGCCTTCGGCAAACTTCTGCAGCAACTGGTCAGGGAAGACTGGACCTCCGTTGGCCCATCCCAGCAATTCCAAAGTGGGCTCCTGAACGGGTTCGGTTGCTCGGCTTTTTGGGGGCGCAGAGTCTGAGGCATCCCAAAACTCGTACACCTTTCTCTCCAGCGCAGCTTGGATTTCCCTCTGGTCTTCTCGCAGCACACCCACATAGTACATGGGAGGCCGTCGAATGGTGCTATCGAGCAATCTCTCCAACACAGCATGGCCAAATTCAGCGTACCTGCAAAGCCGACAACTACCACCAATGAACATTATACACATACTACGACAAAGCTGCCCCCAACTGAAGTGACATGCGGGAAGATGTGGAAGATTCCATGGGCTCAGACAAGTCAACCCCGCTACCCTTGACGGTTGTTCCACTGGCTTCTTGCTCAAAATCAATGCTGTTTCTCAAAACGCAGTCTTTGGGTTCTTTGGGTTTATGTCGCTGACCTGTTCAGGGACGTGCATGACGGGGATCCAAGAGCCGCATCGACAGTCAAAACTGGGAAGGAAAAGGAAAAGACAACGTGTGGGGCAAAGCACCTGTTGGGCAAGCAATCCGCAAAGATCACCACGTCTCCGTCCTGCCACTCCATGCCACGCACATAGGAAGAAATGATTTCAGTATGGGCCGGAATACCTTTCCTCGGCTCGCCATTGATCAATCAAGCAACCATGTGGAACAATGGAGCTAATTTACTGTTACTTAACCCCTTCTACAGATAAAAGGTCGCTCAAAATATTTCAAAATCGAATGACAGCCCAAACACTGTTCTGTTCGCGAAGCCGCGCCGAAGCGATTGTCAGGATCAAACCCTTGCATTTCGTTGACGCGGATGAGCTGGCAAGGTCCAATCAAGCCAGAAGACACAGCCGCAGAACTCATCCATGGGCTGGCTTGCTGATGAGAAATAGCAGTGACAAAAAGGCACCCATGGTTTGACGGTCGTTTGTCGTTGGCATGGTTGCTTGCTTTGTCGAACGACAACGTCACTGGCACAGTGATGTCCATACCACCCTTTTTCAAAGAGTCCTCAAGCAGGCGTCGGTGCTTCACCCAAGCGTCTGTCGTCGTTTGCGATTGCATAATGGGGGTCTGGCAGTGTCCGCCATGGTGCGGTGACATCGCCAAGACATGTGTGAACGCGTCGAAGCAGTTCCCCACATAGGTCGCGTTGCTGGGCCACACGGTGCAATCGAGTCCACAAAGCACAAACCTTCCAAGGCTGACAGCAAAGGAGAGCAAAGTGGTGAAAGGAAAGGCAGGGCAAGGACCAGGAATGAATCGAAAGGGCCCCGGCTCCGGTAAAAGACACACACACAGCTATCGAGCCCACAAAGCACAAACCTTTCCAAGACTGACAGCAAAGGAGAGCGCATGAGGAAAGTGAAGGCAGGGGAAGGATTCAATCGACAGGGCTCCGGCGCGGGTAAAAGAAAAATCTGTCGAATGAGATTGCAAGGCACACTCTCGAAACTTCCTCTTTGGAGCCCACCTTCGAAAGAAAGTTGGCCACGTCTGGAAAAGCTTTGCCCAAGGCAGCTGGGTCGTTGCCCGGAAACAGCAGCTTGCACTTGTTCTCCATGAACTCCTTTGTAAACTCCTGACCCTTCCTCATCAAAGGTTGACGCAGTAGAGCACAAAGTATTCACAGACAATGTTCTTGGTCAAAGTTAAATCAACATTTCAAAAGCTTACTGATCATACCATGCATCTTTTGCCTGTCTGCTAGGTACTTCTTGTCCAACGCAGCCTCCTTGGCTGCTTGGACTTGGTCAGGCACACGCGCCCGCAGCACCTCCATGTCCTTGCGGAACTGATGTCTCAGCTTTTCAGCATTGGCCATATTGCACTTCTCATCCAACTCTCGTTCAGTTTCTTGGGATTCTCGCAGCTTCCGCTGCTCCACGCTGATGATCATGCTCCTGATGTCACAGGAAAACAAAAGTGGCGGCCGTCAAATTGGACTCGCTTGTTGGAGGTTGCAAGGCGGAGCTCCCTTGTGTGCTCAAGTGTGGCCACGAAAAAACCTGAAAGTCTTTACAACATCCTATCGTAAGCTTCTCTGACATTCTGCAACCAGATGTGTTGCCTGGCTTTCGCAATTGGATTAAGTTTTCGCAGCCCCCCAAAAGTGCGATGTCATGTCCAAATGCTGTTCACCACCCACCCCAAAACTACGCACGCCGCCACACTCCAGTCCTGACAAACGGGACCTGATCAAGTGACACTGGCGGAACATTGCACTCCAGGTAGTGGACAACGTCGGTGTCCAGGATGCCGAGGTCAAACTGATTTTCGATTCCGGGAGCAGCGTCGGCAAAATCCTTCTGAGGGATAGACGCCCTCAATTGATCCATGATGGCCAAAAAGCCACCTACAGCCGCGTGGATGCACCAAGCGTCCTTGTACAGCCACGCTTTCTTGACTGTGGCCCTGTCCCAGTCTGCCTGCAAACGCTTCAGGAAGCGGGTCACCTTGGTTATCAAAAGGACCGTGCGCAAGAACAACAAGCAAAAATCAGCAATCTCTTGCCTCGCGTTGGGTGAACCTGTTCAATACAATATGCATCAACTCAGCCGGCCGAGGCGCAAGGACGTTGTCCTCCAGGTTGGTCAGCTCAGCCTGCCAGGCCACTAAAGATCCGGTCTTTCCAGAGCTCCAACCAACGTTGAACATCTCTGCCGCAAGCAGATCGTGTGTCAGGTAGTGGCGCATACCGCGCAGGCGGACGCTCTGGCGCAATTCTGCCACAACTGCTGGCGAAACCTTCGTCTGTAGGTAGGACACAGATCGTGATTCCTTCTCACCAATTTGGAAAGCCCTGGCCACTCGCGTGGCATTGTGCCACTCCTCAGGCAGCCAATCCAAAAGAATTGAAAAGCTCACCAAAAAGAAACAACTTACAATACTTTAACACCCTGTTTGCTACCCAAAAATGCCACAAGCAAATACAATGGACAGTGAAGTCTGACTCTTCCCCGCTCTTCTTCAAAATCTCGAGTTGGCGGATGAAGTTCATCGCGTTCGGAGGCCGTCTCGTTTGGGTTGTTGAAAGTGTGATTCCTGTGAACTCACAGCAAAAGAACACGCTTTAAGGATCTGCTCTCCACTGCCCAACAAAAGGCGCCACACACTTGACACACAGCGACCCCCCACAGCGCAACACTTCTTCTGGAACACACGCACGCCTCGACTGGCCCAAATGGCATCCTTCGGGGTCGCGTACTGCCCAACTGCACCATGAACGACACGAACGGAGGCCTGCCCAGAAACTAAACCAACCATTGCATGGTAACCGGTAGCGAACACTTCAGACCTGCCTTAAACTCTGGTGTGAGCTCCTCAAATGGGATTCCCAAACTTCGGATTCCTTCGCATACGATAAGAATTGAGAGGCTGCGTCGCCATCCCTTCACAAAGGCCACACTGAATGGTGGCAGCGTACCTGAAGTGAAGTGATTTGGATTCAAAATCAAACTGCAGACTGAACCTTCAAGTAGAACCCTGAACGCAACACCCTGTGAGTGAGGTCCCAGCCTTCAACCAACTGTGGGAGCTCCTTGTACGGGGCATCCAGCCAGGCTTTGTTGGGCTGAGTAACGGTCAACTTTTCAACTCCACCTTCATTGGGGTCGGTTCTAAACCTCAGGTAACGTGGCGCAGTGGACTCTTTCCGGTAGCAGCTAAGCCCTAAGCGCAAGGAACCGAATCACAAGAGTTTCAGCCTGGCGACCCCTGTGTCAAAACGAGCTGAATGAGACTGCACATGTCATATGGGTCGGCCATGCCAGGAAGGCCGAAATCAGATCTGTAGCCCAACTGCCAAACGCGGAGGTACTTGGGGCCGATGCTAAGGTCGTCTGAATAAGTGATCCTGCCATGAGATCAACGCACGCATACACTTGCGCGGCGAGGGCACCTTGCCTGGAATCCGGCTTGAAAGCGTTCTCCAGCCACCCTGCAAAGTCCATTTGATCATCCTGCACACGCACGCTCTGAGAGCACAACAACAGCATCAAGAACATTCCACACGTGACCTTCGTCCGGTACTTCTTCATCAAATATTGATCTGCCCCTCCGGCAGGAGTGACGATGTTCATGAACCTGGGCCAGCTGCAGTAAACAGCAATAATATGGTAAATCAGTGAATTATTTAGAACTCAAGGAAAAGCGTTTAGGCAGTCAAAGAACCACTCACAGATGCGGCCCACATGAGCCAACTTTGGATCATCGGTCACCTCCTTTTGGTTTGCTTTCGCCTTTTTCTTGCTTGTTGCTGACCCTGAGGACACACGCTTTCCCATAGCACCCGACAGACCAAAGAGTCAAGTGCGTGGCTGGCGCCCCCTAGAATTGACGAACAGGTTCGTTGCGGATCATGAGAAACATGAAAAAAACGACAAGTGACAAAATGCAACAAATGTCATAAATGTCATAAATAAACAGAAGAATCTCACTTTTCAGTCAGTCGTTTTTGCTCACGGCACGGCTCACGTAGTAGTGCCCCCAGTCCTGCAAAATAGCGCTTCAAATGTTCAACTCCAGGAAAAATGCTTCAACTCCAGAAAAAATGCAGGGTAAAGTCAACCCAGGTCCATTGAATCTCTGCCGGGCAACAATTGTGGAAAGTGGCGCGTGTTTTTCATACTAGGCGCAATGGTCCAAGTCAAACATTCAAGGTGTTTTCTTCGTGACTTCTTTCTTCACGAATTCCCAGACATCAGCCCCGCTCAGAACCTCCTCAATCTTAGCAATCCTTGCCTCCAGCAGGGCCACACGATCTTCTGGTTCGTGAACTTGCGGCTCACGACGGGGTTGGGGAGGCATACCAGTGAGCGGGATCTTGGCACCTTCGAGCTCTGCGCGCTCTATGTTCAACCCGCAATAGTACAAGAACTTCCGATGGAGTGGAAACGCAGGGTTGTGGTGAGCCAAGAACCATTTCACATACACCTGGTGATCCGCCCAAACTTCCCCATACGTCTTCGAATGATGGGTAGATCCAAAGCCAAGCTTGGTCGCCTCTAGCTGAGCCATGCTCAGGGAGGAGAAATCTTCGGGTTCCTCTTCCACACCAATGTGCAGCGCCGCTAATCTTTGGGAGAGGGTGGGCATGGGGCTGGACGGAAGCGGGTCTCAGTTTGCACCAGAAACTTGAGCAAGATCAGGACACTCGCAAGCAAGACCAAGAGCTCATCTGTCAGGTGTCCGCAGAAGTCGGTCAGGCTAGCCGCAAATAGACTCAAAAAGGAAGACAACTACTATATATATTCTTCTATATATGCCTCTTTTATAGCTTCTTTCTAGCTTCAACATAGACAACTACTATATAGTAGAAAGAAGCTAGAAATTCTTGAAAAGAGCGATCGAACGCTTCACCTAACACCAGTCTCAGTCCTGCACTCATGTCCCTTCTCTCCACTCATTGGCTTTTGAAACCTCAGCGGGTCTTCTTGGAAGGCGGTTCAGTTTCAAGACTGCTGGCGTTTGCAGAAGCTGGTTGCGATCTGGTAGTCGTGCACAGGGCCTCCCGTCACTGGTGGGTTGAAACTGTTGGTCCCATGCCATGTATGAACAAACCGGCCTCAGAAGCAGGAACGGCCTCCCTTGTTCGCTTCAGGCTTAGGCTTAGGCAGTCCACTTGGTTCTGAGTGATCTCAACCCAGGCATTTCGTTGCCACAGATACCTAAAACTTGCGCAACTGCAAAAGAAGGTTCAAGCTTCAGTGCTCTGGATCCCGGCACTCCACTGCGCCACTTGCACCATACATTGGCACCACGCTCAACCCTGCAAGCGACCCGCAAATGAAAAACATAGCAAACATAGTTAAACACACTGCAGCAGTAGCTAGCCTTATCTGATTCACGCCCACGGTGCGGACTGTTTGCCATGTGTCCATCTCACAAAGAAATGCTCGTGGTCTGTTTCTGAGCCAAAAGCATGGTCAAACATGCAGTGAAAGTGTAAAATTCTTTGAAGCAATGATACCAAATTAGGAAGTTGCGACTGAATGCATGGCAGAGTGGCCTGCGTAGGCCAAGTTCTAGGCCAGCCACCCCTGTAAAGAGTGACACGCAGCCCACACTTTCAGCCTGCCAGCTGCAATCAAACGATCTCGTTTTTTGTTAAACATAACATGGCCTGCTCATGGCCAAACATTTGGTCCAACAAGACCGGCGACACTGAAACCGCAGGGTCAGTCCACCCCAAAGGGAGGCCTGGAGATTTGAAACAATCGGATCGAACAATTTAAAACACCACCTCCAAGCGCTTGAAAATCTAAGCTGCGCGCCAGAAAACCATTCTGCTGCGCGTGGGTTCAAGCACGAACCCGGCTTGGCCCCACACTTCGCAATTTCAGCCACATACCGGTCCCAGTGCCTGATTTGGTTAGCCAAATCCTTAGGCCCAAGCACAAGGAGTGGCTGGCACAGGACACGGACAAGCTTCTTGAAGCTTAGGCAAGAACCGAAATTCCGCGAGTCGACACTTCAGATTTGGTGCATCTGTGCGATGCCCCAAATACGCCTCCGTACAATGTGTGACATGCATGGGCCAGGATATTTACAACCCAGTGTCAACTGTTGTTCAAAATTACACGGATTTTGGGGCCATCAATCATTGCATCTTTCCGTTCAACTCATTGTCATGCCGAATCTGAGTCTGCAACGCAGGCAGGACCATGAGCGGAAGGTTCTCGTTCCTGTGAAGATTCGGGCGCCATTCTTTTTGTTGCCTCCGCCCCTTGCTCGACTGACCTCGGAATCAAAACATGGACCCACTAACTAAACGCTGCAGAGCAAAAACCAAGCCCTCTGCAACGTTCAGCTTCAATGGAGGCGCTTGTGGCAATGGCACAACGACGTGGTGAATCTTCTGGCCATAAATGCTGCCGTGTGCGGGCAGCGGAGCCTGCAAGATTCACATTGCACCCAGGAAGTAATTCTCAACAATCACAAAACTTGCATCTGATCTCTGAAAATTAAATACTGACGCTTCTTCAGTTATGTCGCGACCTGCGCGTAGTTCTTCAAGACAAACTTCTTGACCTTCGCTACGCGGAGATCGGGGGAGTTGGCCTGCCAGCGCACATGATTTCGCGCCGGGTTTGTGCGATTGACTGTTTGGGGCCCGTGCCTGTTTTGGGCGCTTTCTGTTTCTGACCTGCTTGATCTTCGGGAAACCGGCGGCCTGCCATGCGTTGGCTTGACTTGAACAACAAGTCTGACACTCACAGAGTTGCCTTCATGGGCTTAGTCGCTGGCCGCTTCTGAGGAACCTGTGCAGGTTCGACGTCTGAGTCTGACCTCCAGGCGCTCCACAAAAAGTATCTTCAAAGGCAACATCACTGCTGTTGTTCGGTAGCATTGAAAGCTAAGAAAAGGGCAAAGCATCGACCGAAGCAAACTTCGCCATCACCACCCCAAAAGACTTTGAGCCACCTCTCGCTTGCCCTAGCACGGCGAGCCCTGAACGAATATAAGGAACCCTCACCAAGAAAAAACCCTCTGCACCTGAAGAGTTTTCAGCGCAGCTACGCAACTGCAATGTCTCTGCGTGCACAAAAAACACAGTCAACACGAACTGACAAGAACCCGCCGTCGTTCACAATGGAACACATTGCCAGAGAAGGTAAACGCTACTGCGCGAAGTAAATTTAGAAGTATCACGCGTCACGCCGTAGAAAGTTTGTCAAACAGTCCGGAAGGCAGCGCTGCACGTCTGGGACGATACGCTATTTAAAAACCAGGATGCACGAAGCGCTGACCCTAGGCCGGCGTGTGGCACCGCTATCAGCTCAGTACACCCTATCCTAAGTGTGTTTGGCCTCGCGCCAACCCGGGATGAGCCCGCAGAGTGCCTCCCGTGGACCCGTTGAACGGGGGTACGTCGTTATCTCCCCTGCCCGGAGATGTAAGTGCCCAGAGCGGGCGAAGGTGGCCTAGGCCGAGAGAACTCAGATTTTGTCTCATCTTTGGAATTCCAAGCTGGCTCATGCCTTTATGTGTAACGAGAGGGAGGGCAAGTGGCAACGTCAAAATTAACCCTGTAAAGTGTGGGGGGGCTGAGGGTGGGATGCACGAAGCGATGCAATTTCTCCTAGCCTGGTGACTTCAGCATTAAATTATTCTGAAGCTCTGCCATCATTCTCTGGCGCCACCAAGGTGGAGAAGGCTCACAATCATGAGTTGCAGCACTGAGGTTCAACAACCCCATTCATTTTGACAACCCCATTGCAAAGATAACTCCTTCTGTTTCTTCCAAAAATCAAAACTGTTCAACTGAAGTTCAACTATGCCGTCTTGTCCAAGTTTCCGCCAGCGTTGGGAGTCCGGACGAGGCCATTGGCGAGGCTGGAGTGGAAGGGCGAAGTGGCCTGCGGCCAGCTGACCCAACTCCAAGAGTTCGCCACCCACCAAGTCAGCTCTCAGTAGCTTGCGGCCGAACGAAAGGACCGCACCGATAGCGCTCAAAAAGTCTCTTCCCAAAAGGAGTCCCAACGATGGCACTGGCACTATTGACACCCACACCAAAACCAAAGTCGAACCCAGGGCCATAGGGAGTCTGTACCTCACGGTGCTTCTTTGGGTACCACCATTTCCAAACCTGAACAACTCATTCTCGGGGGTGGTGATGATGAGGTTCTGGATATAGGAAGGAGCACGTTCAAGGGCTTGGAGGTAGAAGGCCAACCATGAGGAACCTGCACATGTTCTATTGCAAGCACTATCCAAAGCTCCAACGAATCTTTTGTCTTGTGCGAGACGTGGAATGTTCTTGGGGTCGGTATGGTGCTGCATGAGGACTTCGAACAATGGGCGATCCCATGAATCGCCGGCGGCCACTGTCATGACCTCGTGGCCCATGTCATCAGGTTCTTCAGGAGCCACATGTTCAGTGTTCAGGGTCTCGGTGACACGAACCTGCTTCGTCATCTGGCTCTTAGGCTTTCCTTTGGGTCGAGCCAGGCCAGCACCAGGGGCCTTGCAGCCTGCATCACCAGCCCAGTGTCCCATCTCACCACAGTCGAAGCACTTTGTAGTGCTCTTTTGGCGAGGGACTTGATTGCCATGGGGCTTCGTCGAACGAGGAGCCGGTTGGCCAGGCTTTCCATATCCACGGTCTTTCTTGACCTCAGCTATTTTGGTGCGTGCTTCACGCATTGTCAACAGACTCTCTGCGGCCTGTTCCATGCCGCTCTCCAAATCTTCAAGCACTCGAGGGTCGCAACCTTCAGTCTCGAGCTCCTGCAGCTCTTGGGCAAGAAGCTCAGCTTCGGTCTGGAGGACTTCTTCGATCGTCGGGTTCTCAGGAGAGTAACCCTGACCATCATCGTCTGGAATCAGCTCTTCATCTTCCGCCTCCATCTGGCCTTCCTCTTCAGGGGCCTCGGCAATCAAGGCTTGTCGAGGTTGAGGCTGCTGGCCAAAACGCTTGAAAGGTGGCCGGCTGGAACCAGAGCTCTGAGTCCGGAAGGAGCGAGAAGAGGGAGCCGTCGAGCTGGCTGTAGTCGAAGGCCTGTAGGACGAAGAGGAGCTGTGTCTGTCATGAGACTGTAGGAAACGCTGGAGTAGTGGTGCCTTGTCAAAAGGTCGGCTCTTGTTCAAAGGGTCGGAGGAGTGCAAATCTCGAAACAGACGAAGGCATTCTGATTCGACCACATCATAGTTCTCCCGACCTGCCAATGCTGTCTCCAGCAACTGCTTCCTGATTGCATCCAGTCCCAAACGTTCTTTCAACATCCAGCCTAACTCCTCCTCCGGCATCACTATGCCTTCCCGCTTGAGCTCAGCTGCAAGGGTCCGGAATCTCGTGCAAAATGCTGAGATTCTCTCTCCAGGGCTGCGTTTGATTTCTTGATAGTAAAGGGATCGGAGTTCTCCCTTTCTATCCAAAGCTGTCTTCCCAACCGTGGCCTCCAAGGCAGTCATGAGTTTCTTGAGGCCAGCAAAAGGGTCTGCAGCAACCCGAATCACTTTGTCGCCGGTGTCAGGATCGGTCATGGCTTCTTCCTTGGTCCCTTCAAGATCCTGGGGATCGAATTCTTCACAACGAGCCCTGACCACACCATATTGTCTAAGTGCCCATCGGGCGGCAACATTGAACTTCTTGCAGGATTCTTCATCCAGCGAAGCCATCCACCAGTTCATCTCCCGGCGGAACTGTCGCCATTCCGCCGGGTTGCCCGACCACGTCGGCACCCGGTACCAAGAGCTGGTGCCGGATTCTTCTGCTGAAGTCATCTTCACGGCCAAATTGGCCAAAAACAAAAGTGAGGCTGCTGCAAGGTGTTCAAGGAGCTCCGCAAGTTCTGAAGCTCTCCAAAGAAAAGGTGGTCTTAGACCGAAAGTGAAGTTGCGCAACGATGGTAGGGCCCAAAGCAAAAGGAGGGTCTATGTACCCCCAAAGGTCACTCCAACAAGGCACTGCTCGGCGGCAAGGGCACAGTGAAGTGGTTCAAGAAAAAGGTGTCCACAAACAAGAGAATCTAGTTATTCTCAAAAGGTTGGCACCGACCACGAAGTCCAGAGCGTCTGGCTCGAGGTCGTGTGGAGCAGCCCAGAAGCTTAGCTTGAAGGCCACGAAGACGAGGAGAAAAGAGGCAAAAGCGAGGCGAAGCAAGGCAAGCAACGGCGGAGTGCAATGCAGCAAACTCAACTTTCACAAGCTCGGAGCGAGCGATATAGACGAAGGTTGGAGCCTACGCACCGAAAAGGCCTTGTTCGTTTCAGACTAGCTTCTTGTTTCAAATAGCGAACATTGTTACTACTAGTAAGGCACTTGTTACTAGAAGCGATGCACTTGTTCCTAGTAGCTATTTGCTTCTAATAGCAAACATTGTTTCACACCTTACAAGTCACACGAACACTAACTACAAGCAACTACAAGCGCTCCTCGAAAAGGTTTCGTTGGACGTCCCCAGTGAAAAGAAGAGCTGAGCGTCCCGCCTCATTGGTGGTCCTTGGGTTTCTGGAAGAGACCTTGCTGTGAACCGCTGCGTGTGGCCATGTTTCTGAGAGGCCCATCCATCCTCCACGCTTTACACGAAGACGTCCAACGAAAAGGCGTCATGGAATTTCGCCGTAAACCATCCCCTCAGAATTCTAAAAAATCTTTCGTTCCGTCCTTCGTTTTGCCTGTCTTTCTGTCCCTCTCTCCGGCTGGCAACAAGAGCACTAGAATGTCACTATAGCATTACTACTTGCATGAAGGCCTGCTCAACTACCAAACTCAGAATGGCGCTCTGCTAGGTGATGGTCAACTGAGTGCTGCAACCAGGTGTGTTCCTCTGTAGAAGATGCAGATTCTTCTTCCGGAGCGGCATTGGTTGGCCTCTGAAAGCCACAGCCAAAAGACTTGCGTTCAATCGATGGCTCAGGAAACACGATGAGAACACACAGTATAGTATAGTAATGTAAGGTAGTAAGGAACACCAACTTGTTGCCTCAACTCCCCACCCTCACACCCTCTGAACGGAGGCTCGGTTTGCACATGTTTTCTCCCCTTGCACCAGGCCTCGGCAAAACCCACTGGCCAGAGAGATGGTCATAGGAGAACCTCGGTCGGACGGGCCCATGCATTTCACGAAACGACACACAACAAAAGAAACACCGCGAAAAAAGGAATTGTCAGGATATTTGAAGAAACACAATTCGTTCCTTGATTTTTCCATGCAAACATTCATCATGTATTTTATCATTCTTTTCAGCCAACGGATTTCACACATGAGGAACAAAACATGACTTGGTATGTCGGCAACATCCAGGATCCGGGCTGGCTGGCATATCCAAGATTCCTCAAACACGCTGGCGTTTACGGATTCGAATAGATTCCAGTAGAAGATATTGGAGAGTGGTGAACACTGGCCACACAAGTTGTAAACACATGACATGTTTTGTACCCAGAGCGCAAGTTAAAAAAGCTTTGGGATCTAGTTTCAAAGAGTCAAAAACAGCAAAACGCAAAGAACTTGTTGCTGTTGCAACAAGTGATCAGGGCCTCAGTGGTACTTATTAAGCCACTGCAATTCCCTCGCTGTGATACAGTTTGCAGCAAAAGCGCGCACCATCGCGCACCCATGCAGAAACCATGGGTCTTTGCGTCACACCAAGATTGGTCTCTAGCAAGCCCCCCACCCAATGCGTCACTCAAATCCTCAACAAGCAATGACAGGGATAAGTTCGGGATAAGTGATCAAAGTCTTGGAATGACAATTTTTATGTTGTTACCCCTTCATAAATAGTGTAATTGTTGGGTCTCTAAATCTGTCTAGTTCAGGGTGGGTCTCTCAGTGAGCCGATTCTGCAATCCTGCATCACATCTATCAGATTCGCATCCAAGACAACCGATGGACACTCCCCCTCCCAACCAATTTGTGGACTTGTGTCTCACTGTCCCCAAGCTTCAACTCCAACACGATCCACCCACATCCTACCAACATCCTTCCAATTCCTCAGATCTAACTCACTCCTCATCTCCCATCCCCTTCTTCATGTCATTTCATGTCCATCCAACCTACTAGCGATGGCCTCCAATATCAGTCCTTTCGTCGCTGCCGAGCGGCGTCTTCTTTTCGCCCAGGACTCGGTTCGCCAGCCACTGGACGCTTCGCAGGATGGGCCTTCGGTGGACAGGCGATCCGGTGGACCCGAAGCACGGCCGTCGAACAAACAACTCGGAGTCGTTACGGCACCTAGCGGGATTGCTCCGTTCGTAGCGTCCGATCGCTCGGTTCGTAGCGATGCCCTTTGCTCCTAGTAGCAAACATTGCTCCTATAGTAGTAAGGCCAGGGGCCCCTAGTAGCTTCTTGCTCCGTTCGTAGCGATGCCAAGAGCCCCGTTCGTAGCGTCCGAGCGCTCCGAGTCGTGTGGATTCGTGGGGTATGTAACATGGACCTCTCTAAAGCTCGCATTTTTTGTCCCTGATGAATTATGGAGAGGAAGATGGGTGAACTTCGGTAGTTCTGAGGAAAAGTCAAGGTTGTCCAACGAAGAACATTCACAATTTTGTGAGCAAATTACACCAAAAAGGAAGGCATGGATCACTTCGTCGTTGCTCTGTGGGTCCAAGACTCAGGACCCTGGACCCCCCTCGCGCTTAGGTTGGAGGCCATCGCTATTAACTTCAAATTCCTCAAACCCGCCAAGTTCGGAGTCAACGAATCTGACCGATGACTTCGCGCGGTTTTTGGGCGCGTGGGCCTGGCAGCTCGGACCACGACCAACGCCAGAGAGGGCTCATCCTCCTGAGGAGAGCCACAAGAAGGCGACCCGAGACATATGTTGCCGCAGAGATGGAAGAGGTGTTTTATTTTGCTACTAGGAACAAGTGCATCGCTTCTAGTAACAAGTGCCTTACTAGTAGCAACAATGTTTGCTATTAGAAACAAGTGCCTTACTACTAGGAGCAAGAAGCTATTAGGGGCTCCTTAGTAGAAGAGAGGTAGCTAGTAGCTTAAGTAGCTACTAGCTACTGGACGCAGGATAGCTCACGCTTCAAGGAAATTCCCCGCGCCTAAGGGCGGGGCGAGCTTCCTTGAAGAAGCGCTCGCACTATTCATTTGGTTCCTAGATGTTTTAGGGAAACTTAACCTTAGAGACAAGTTGTGACCACTTAATAAAGTGTCCTCGTTAATTATAGGTCAAAAATCATGTTTGTCCTCATGTTGGTGTCAATGTCCCTGTCCGAATTTTAAAGTTACCACCCTATATCATTTGTCGTGTCTCTCCTTTCCCAAGATAGCCAGTCCAAACTTCCTGCAACAACTTCCTTAAATCAGTTGGCCCTTGGTTCCTTCGTTGAGATGTACCAATTGTGACCCCCTTTTGGGGGGATGATCTAGCCTTGACTACTGGTGCTTTCTTCGGAATTTCTTCAGCTGCGGTCCATGTTCCTTCCTCGCTCCCCACATCCGCCTCCCCTTCACTCTCTTGGTCAGGTTCGGGACTGGTCACCTTCGAATCTTTCAAGCAGATCGGACGTCTCTTGACCCACTGGAACGAAGTGCACCAAGTGAGGAGTGTCTTAGATATCCATGAAAATTTGGATTGCCTTCAACTTCTAGGCTGCAGAACTATGACAAAGCTAGTGGGGCCCTGCGTTGTTCTTTTGTCGGGGTCTGTTTCATCTTCATTCCCAAAGACACGGAGAGAAAACTTGGGAAGAAACACATGAACAATCAATAACACAACAAGTTCACAAATGGCCTCCACCCGAATATAGCAATGGCCTCCAACCTGATGATGGCCTCCAACCTAATGGCGGTGGCCTCCACCCTAATAGCAATGGCCTCTAACCTACTAGCGATGGCAATCAATAAACACAACAACAAGTTCACAGATTTCCAGGTTTTGAAATCTTCATTCACAACTCACAACCCCCGACATGCCTCGGCTTGTGCTCGGCGCGCGGCACGGCGTGCATCTCGACGGGCACGCTCATCGGCGGACCTGGACATGGTCGGTGGAAGGCGTCTTCGAACAAAGAACTCCAATGGCTTTTCATGAGCCGAGATATTATTTGTAAAGGCTATCCAAAAATTATGGGCCCTCGATGATGCAATGGTGGTATTAGTTGTTGTGATGGTTCTCGCTGTATCCCAAAATGGTTGCTCGAGGGCCATCTCTGCGGAGGGTTCTGAAATGCTTTCCAAGTGTCACAGGTGCTTGTGAGAAGGACTGCTTTGAGGCTGATAACGAAGTGAGCAAGCTGGTTGGATGACCAGAACAAGTAATTATGCAAGACGCAACAAGTTTTACATGCATCATTAGTGTTTGCACAATTAGCTTGTTTCTTAACATGGCTCATGTACTCATCCAATATCTGCACACCCACCAGCTCATGGTGCAAAGCACAAAAGCACGGCACTGCTTCTGTTCTGAGATACTGGCTGCGAGGGCACATCTTCGTCTGCGAACGGTGATGAACAGTAGAAGGGACACGAAATGTGAACCCACGTGAACCCGAATACCGCTTCCAAAGCAAACATCAAGGACACAAACGAGTGGAAGCGTGCTTCGATCATCTTCGATCCCGTTTTGGCCCGGCCCTCGTCCTTGGGCCACCAACCTCAGGCTTTTGCGAGGTGGCCTGTACAATGGTGAAGAAGGATCCCAGCCATGAGCGAAAGATCCCTGACACCATGCGGTCTATGGCAGTGGCAACCCCATGTCGCCACGATTTGCGCCATCCGCCGAGCCCTGCTGTACATCTGACACAGTGCGAAGTGTTGGAGTTCCCCCGGATGACACACCAAGTAGTAGGTTCGCGGTTTCTTTGACTCCGAAGCAAACCAGGGAGGGAACTCGGAACTCAGAACCCTCAGAACCTCACACCTCCTGGGGCTTAAAGGCTTCCAGGAGTCCATGCGAAAGGAGGTCAAGAGGTGGATTCTCTTTTCCACTAAATCCACGTGCCGAACTTGCCGCCCGATCTTCGGACCACTCTGCAGGCGATGTGAACGCTTTCATCACCATTCAACTTGGGCTTGTCTGTTTGTCCGTTTCCATTTTTATGCCTGTGCCTTTTCGTTCGTAGGTGTGAGTAGAGTTTGTGCCCATATTTGGTGAATTTACCATGTGGTGTACAGGTTTCTGGTGCATTTTTCACACCCACCCCAACCCCCCAGAATACCTGGGAAGGGGGAGCGTGGGCGCGCGTGTCATGATCGACCGTCCGCAAGTTCGTGTATTCAACTTGGGCTTGTTGCACGAGGTGCATCGCAACTAGTAGCAAGCGCATCGTTACTTAGTCACACCGGGCTGCCCAGTCTCCAAGCCGGTCTGGTCTCCATCACACTCGGCTCAACGCGATGAGTGCCACCCCAGGGAGGCGGATGCCCACGCCCAGCAGCGCAAAGAAGCGACTCTTCGACGTGTTGAGCTCGTCGAAGAAGAGGAAACCAATGAGTAAGGCCAGGATGCTGGGGAGACTGCTGATAATGGGGAACGTGACCTGAGGTTGGGACTGTGGTGTATGGAAGGGTTTGGTATGGTTTTCAACCCAAATGTTTTCTGGGAAAATGGTCAGTGCCTGTTCTCCGGGCCACAGAGAAGCCCAGCTCGCCGTTGGCATCGAACCAGGCCACCGTGCCAATGGCCCAAATGATGCCCGAGAGCATCGCGGGGAGGACGATTTGGCAGGGCAGAAAGCTCTGCTGCCTTCGTCCAGTGAGATGCGAACAGCAAAAGGGGGTGGGAAAGATGTGCATGTGAACTGAGTTATTTAGCTCAAACTCCACTCATCTGCTTCAACAAATGGCTGACATGTGTCATCATTCAAAGCTCTGGCCTCTGTACGCCCACATAGATCAACAAGGCAACCCCTGAGGCTACGAAGATCCCCAGGAAGTGGCTGAAGACATAGTCCAAGGCGCATCGGCTGTGGCAAGGGCCGAATCTCCCCTGCATGAGATCTTGCGGCAAATCAAACCTGGCATCACTGAGCGACACACCCGACCCTGATCGGCGCCGGGCAGTGGTGGACAGGGGTGACTGTGAAGAGGAGCCACAAAGGAGCATAGATGTGATCTAGGTCAACAGGTTTTGCCACCCAGAACCCCTTGGACGTTCAAAACCTGTTCCACACCTGTTCCGTGTCCGACTTTGCCATTGGATTTGACTGAACATCTCCTCAAAAAAAGGTAAGAAGTTCAGCTGACAGTGGAGGCGCCCAACTGCAAAACGCCTCACCAACTTCACAATCCACAAATTCACACAAATTCCAGGATCACAACTAGCTCATTTTGAGAGGTTCCTTGTTTGGCAACTCCACTCGACTTTGGCAATTGGATCACTCCACTCGATCCAGCGGGCACCGCGATCGGACGATGTCGACCGCAAGAAGTTCAGCCGGACACCAAGGCACATCGTTCCGAACAGAACGCCTGCAAGCACCGCCATTGCAGAACCTCAAGGAAGTCACTGATACCCAACGACCACGTTGCGACGCCGGACGGTCCAACGTGGGAAATATCGAAGTCGATGGTGCCACCTGTTTGGTATTCGGAACATGGTCCAAGGGGCCATGCCATCCACGCAACCATGCTTAATCTCAGGGAGTGTCATCAACATCAGTGTCTCAATGATGGGTAACAATAGGCAATCAGTATGCGTCAAAACGCTTCAACACTGGCAACGATGCCTCCATCAACACCTCCTACAATCTGGAATATTACCATGATGAAACATATTGACACATTTCTTGGAAGGACGGTTTTCAGGGTGGGGTCTGTTTCCAAATGCGATATTCACGTTATTCCACGTTCCTGATTACTGCGAGGGTCTGCTAGTGAGATGCCTTTGCATCTGTCTTTGGGGGAACACTTACTTCCTGATACGGTCTCCTGGACTCTAAAGACCTGTTCACAGAAAAAATAACCAGGAAGATATGTGATCATCCGATTGGTATCTATTGGGGGGTTAAGGGGACTTAGATGGACTTAGACTTATTGCACTTAACAACAAATCTAAAAAGCTCGTCTGCGCCAGCCCAGCAGCCCAAAACCAATCTCAATGGGTTCCTACGGCAGCGAACAGGGTCAACTCATGAGTCTGTCCATGTCGGCACATGGTAAGACCAACGTGTTGGCAGGATTCCATGTCAACTCTGTGAGACACCGTAGGTGAAAGGCTGTTAAACCTTTGATGAAAGACCCTGAAGCCTTCGAATCCGAGCAAGCTCATGAACATGGTTATGGTTGGTACTTGGTTGTTACTAAAAACAATCGTTCTGCTTTTGCCCATGGAAAAAACACACAAACAAACAAACCATCATCGATGCAACTGTAACGACTGTAATCCAGTGCGTATCAAGTCCCTCGGATTCGACCAGGTTTCACCCTGCTGTCGTGTGATCGTTCAGACTTCGTCTCTGATGAATAGCGATGCCCTTTGTTCCTAGTAGCGATGCCAGGAGCCCCTAGTAGCGTCCTTGCTCCTACTAGTAAGGCACTTGTTACTAGTAGCGATGCACTTGTTACTACTAGCTTCTTGTTACTGGTAGTAAGGCCAGGAGCGCCTTTATAGTAGCGTCCTTGCTCCGTTCGTAGCGATGCCCTTTGCTATGAGTAGTCTTTCACGACCCATCCGTGTCGTTTGGATTTCTCCTTGACTCCTTGTCGCCCTCAGCTGGTGCTTCCACATCCGCTTCAACAGGTTCAACCTCCTTCGTCGTCTTCACGCAATCGTAGCGTGCAGCCAAGTACATGAAGATCAAGGAGACACAGGCGAGCGCCAAGCCGGAGTAATTCATCCAAGGCGTTTGGGAGATCTCCATCTCCACCTTTGAACATTCAGCCAAGTGGCTTCGGAGATAAAACGATCTATTATTAATATAAGTTGACAGTTTCTGGTTCAAATTTGATATTATTACCTTTTATTCAATTGATATACCTTTCTCCTGCAGATGTTTCATGTCTGTCCTGTTTCAGAGCTGTGAACTGGCATGTTTCCAGACCTCAACATGTTTTGACATAGTAAAGTGTACTACTGGGAACAAGAAGCTACTATAGGGGCTCCTGGCCTTACTACTAGGAGCAAGGACGCTACTAGGGGCTCCTGGCATCACTACGAACGGAGCAAGAAGCTACTATATGTTTTCCCTGATCTTTCTTGGCGACTGACAGCAAACACCGGGTGGCTCCCGCAGATATGTGTGAATTTCCTCAATAGCCACCTACACTTTCTTAACAAATACCTAGGACCTGGTCAAATAAGTGGATCCAGATCTCTGAAACCTCCGCAAATCTCCTCATCTTGCCCTCGTTCACTCCCCCAGGGGCTCTTTTGTTCGTGAATTGCAAAGGAATCTCATTGGCCTGGCGTCATCTGCCACCATTGAAAACATACTAACCTACCCGCCGAGAGACGCCAAAGAGGCCGAACCGACCCGTGACCCAACCCATGAGCATGTTGCTGAGGTCCCAAATCGTCAGACCCAAGCCCAATCCAATCAGCTGGATCACCTCGCTCGAAGGAGACCGAAGGCGATCGAGACGACTTCGTGTTTTTTTTCACGTGTTTCTCCTTTCTTTTCTTCCGAAGGCGGCAATAAGAAGAAAGGTGGAAGTCTGGGTGGATCGTGGTTTGATCGTGATTCGTGGGAGATTTTTAGGTGCGTTCAGAAGTTGGGGGCACTTGTAGAGACGAACTCTTTTAAAGTTTGGTGTGGAACCGAACATGAGCAGAATTGGATAGTAAATGATTGAGGTGGGGTTGTCATGTCCAATGCAGCTTTGGATACCTGTCCTGTTTATCCTGCTGCGACAACATTGAAATCTGAGACTTTCATGTCCTTGGTCGAGTGATCTGTGTGCTTGTCGTGATCCCTTCTTGTGATTGAGATGTCACATTCCCTTGGCTCTTAGGAATAGTAGGATTCAACTAGAAGCAAATGCAAAGCACTTGATGTGGAGCAACCGTAACAACCACACCACCCATGACACCATACAGATTTTATGACAAAGCAACCCTGATGAGCACACGTGTTAGCACACACACACAGCCCCTTCTCATCACCTACAAGCTCCCTGAGTGGACTCTTTTCCATGCTCCTTGAACTAGAAGCGATGGCCTCCAACCTAAGAGCGATGGACTCCACCCTAGTAGCGATGGAACCTAGTAGCGTCTTTGCTCCTAGTAGTAAGGCCAGGAGCCCCTAGTAGCTTCTTGTTATTAATAGCGATGGACTCCTAAATAAGGGCGAGATTTACATGTTTTCCCCAATTCCACCATGGCGCTGCGGGGCACAGCAGGTTGCCCATCGTGAAGATCACCCCGCCCAGCGCTGCCAAGGGTTCGAAGTTGAAGGGTTCGCTATTCAAGAAGACACCTGGGGCGGTGACACCGGGGCGGTGGACAAAACGGTGAGGAACCAACCTTTGGCTCGCTATTCGGGGGAGAAGCTGCTGGAGGCTTGGCAGTTAGTCAACATTGGCTATTTCTATTGGCTATCAGGAAGTATAGCACTTTGAATAGAGTCCCATCAGCAACGCTGGTGTCATATTTCTCTTCCGCCCAAGCGCCCGTAAGGATTCCCACCATCAAAATCCCCACGGACATGGCAAACGTGAAGAAGACCCCGTCGCCCGTGTCATACTTCTTCACCGGCAAATAGTTCACGGCATACGCCACACTGGCGATCAAGCAACAGGAATAGCCTAAAGCAAGCTGGCCCACCATGGCTGGGCACGTGTGCGGCACGGACTCAAGTCCGTTCTTGAAGAGCTGGAGAGATTCTGCAGCAACGACTGCAAGGAGAGACACTTCCTTAATTCGATAACTCACTTTGCTCTTTCTCGTCTCAAAGTCACCGATGCCCTGGCCAACACATGAGACCCTGAACTGCCAGGTGCTCGTCAGCAATGGATGAAAACCAGAAAACGGGTTCTGAGAAAACGGGCTTCCGAGATCTTCTGCTTCGTTTCTGTCGCGCTGAGGTGATGGACAATCTCGGAGATGGAAAAGTCCACTCTCCTATATGTTATGTCTGAGTCTGAGCCTTGAATCAAAAGAACATCTGCTTTCCTAGAGGAGGAGGGTTCACATTTCAGCAGGTGCACCCGCATCCCCGGCCCTTGTTTTCGATGTCCCATTTTTTTTCCTGCCAAATTCCCAGAAAGTGGACCGCCAGCTGAACTGTGGCCAGCTGAACTGGGATCCACCTCACCAGTGCTTCGGATCTCAACATTCACATGTCGAGATCACATCAAACACCGGGGCGCTGGGAGAGAGTGTCGCGCGTCGCGCGGTGCACGAATTCCTTTACAACGATTTGACACACTCTCCCACTGGAGAGGCGTCGCAAAATTGATATAAAAAATCATCCTTGCAGTGCCATGTGCTCACTGAGCTTCACCACATCTTGAGTAACCCAACTGAGACCTCAGCCATGTACCAGGACTGAGCGTTCCCCAGCTGTTGCCACCGACATGCAGCGCGACCAATGACACTGTGGACGAGTGGAAGATCCAGCAGCACGGTGGAGTCTTCTGTTTCAAAACTGCACATTCATTCGCAAGTGAGTTATAGCACTTATAGCTGTCATAGCTCGGAGTTTAAACCTGCGCGAGGTGCGACATCAAGATCCAATTAGGAGAATCGGCCACTGTCTGTGACCCTCTCGGTGGAAAACAGAAGCAAACAAAGGTCAAATGAACAGGCTGCTCTGCACTGCCGTCTTTTACCAAACATGTGATCAAGTTCCTAGAAGAAACCTCCTATCGTGTACTAAAAGCCGTCTACAAACTACTCCAAACCGAAAGCTTCTTTGGACCTCTCTTGACACCCAGTTGCGAGTGACGTTCTTCGTACTCTGGATGAGCGCCAATGAGGCCCTCAGCGAGCGCTTTCGCGGCTTCCGCACGGTCTGCACAGCGGTCTGCACGGCAGAAACGCCGCCACCACAGAAGCAGCACGCGGTGCTGATGGCATTGTGGGCACCTGGAAGTAGCAAAGGCTTTAAGGTGGTCTCAGATGTAGGTCACAGCAACCCTTCCCAAGCATTCTCTCATGAAACGGGCATCTCAGTTAATAGCTGCCATTTGAGGAGTGTTGCTGATAGCGTTTCCACGATATGTATGCACACTGCATACTGCAAATTAGACTTCCAAGGCACAATAGGCTTTGGGCTGGCTGTAGGCAGCACCTCTCTCTTCAAAATACGTACAGTCAAAACGTCCTTCACAGCTGGTTCAAAGTGCCTTAATGTGCACACTACATAGACTGGCCATACCACTTTGCTGACTGGGAAGATGCTCTTTTCAAGCTACAAGGGATGGCGTGTGTTGTGGATTAAGCAGGCTTCAGATACTTCATATGATACATGGCAAGACAAACTCTCCAGATCCAAGCCCTTTCATAGCTTCGACCTCTGACATTCTCCAACCCTCTTCCCGTTCCAAGTCCTTGTTGGCTCCACTGGGCGGGCAGCGGCTCATCGACACATCCAGTTCCACCGCCAGTGGTGGTGCCGCCTGTGCGACTGCTCGTTGTTGTGGTGCTCGTGGTAGTGGTGGGGGCATTAGGGTCCACGATCTCCACGTCCGCGCAGTTGGACCAAATCTGATCTGCCATGTAACAATCCTCGGCCCAAACGAGAACCGCCCTTCTGGAGGTTGAGAATGACACCAGGGACCTACATCAGGCCCATACTGTTTTGATATGTTTGATGTAAGACAACCCTTTTCTTGGGAATGAAGTGTTTGAACTCATGACTCATGATCATTGAACGAAGTAAGCACCTCCCTCGCGCCACGCGAAGCCACCCTCGGTGTCGCAAATCAGGTGCCAAGGTGCCCAACGCCAACTGAGGAGATACTCACCTCACAGCTACTACTAGCTTCTTGTTTCTAATAGCTTCTTGTTACTACTAGTAAGGCACTTGTTACTGGTAGCGATGCACTTGTTCCTAGTAGCTTATTGTTCCGATACTCACCTCACGGCTGAAGGGCTTGGACTTCTTTAACTTCGAAGCTGCCTTTCTCCGTGTTTCTTCCTTTGTTTCCTTTCATTGTTGCTGTTGACCTTCAACCTTTCTTCTATCTGGTTTATTTCTTTGTAGGATGCAAGGAAAAAAATCCACAAGTAGGTATATTTTCATATTATTGTTTTTCTTGTTGGTTGCAGCTTGTGACTGCTGCTGAGAATCCACTGTTCTTTGTGTGCTGAATGCTCTATCTCGACTGGTGCAAATGCCCAACAAAAACGATAGTCTTTCTTCTGAGGCCCCCTGCCTGGGGGAAGGTTGTTGGGCACCAGCACCTTGTCATGGACCTGAACACGCAGGCTACAGGGCAAGAAATGCTGGCAAACAAGGTCACCTCAAATAGTTTCTCACGCTGACTTGGTGATTACTGACTAAACTTTGAACCAGCTTCATTCACTTTAGGGAAGACGCTACTAGGATGGAGGCCATCGCCACGAGACTGGAGGCCATTGCTATTGGGGTGGAGGCCATCGCTATTAGGTTGGAGGCCATTACTACTACTAGCAAGGACGCTACTAGTGGCTCCTGGCATTACTTCCATGCTAACGGTTGTGTGGCACACCACGCCTCCCAGTTGTTGGGGTTGTGCACCTTGGGCCCCGCGTCGCAGACAGACTTTGGACCGAAGTCCTCCGCAAAGAGCTGCTCCACCTGAGCGTCGCCGAAGCTTTGCACGGCGTCCCAGGAGCACAAGCCTTCGCCACCTGCCAGTGCAGGTGGAAACTTGGAGCCCAAGTGAGGTCGCTGGGCTAGAAGCTACTAGGGGCTCCTGGCATCGCTACTAGGAGCAAGGACCCTACTGGGGGCTCCTGGCCTTACTACTAGGAACAAAACGCTACTACGGCCTCCTGGCATCGCTACTAATAGCAAAAGGAACCTACTAGCGACGGCCTCAAACCTAAGAGCGGCCTCCAACCTAATAGGTCGCCAGGCTGGTAGGACATCAAACTGAAAAACAAAGAACGACCAAGCTGGGTATTTCTACAGCGCGCTCCAAGTGTAGAACAGCTGGCAGACGACAAATCGCCAACATCACCGCACTTACCGAAGGTGTTCTCAGCGAACCAATGGTGCGATGCACTGCTATGCGGGAAGGGTCACGAAGGGTGTCTGCTATTAGATTGACACGTGTCTGCTTTTTCCTTGTGAATCCTTTCATCCCACCCCTTCCCATTCTCTATCCACTCACTGCCTTTCACCTGCTCTTTCCCACCACTTTATGGACATGACATACCCAGCTCCATCTTGGACCGTAGACGAGTCCGAGTCCGCTCTTTCACCCACCTCCCGAGATCTGCGCCGTGTCGGGGATGGGGATCCACCGCCAGGTGGAGCCTGCCGGCTCTGTGTCGCCACTCTTGCTGGTGATCTTCATCGTCACCTGGGATGACTTCGGAGCCGAAGGGCGGCATGCGGCTCCCATGGGCGAGGCCGAAGCAATGCAGCGTCTGGAGATGAAGTCTGGGAGACTCACCCTGTTTTCCGACGTTGGACGTTTCAAGAACTTGCTATAGGTTTCAACCCATCTTTCGGTGGCTGCTGTATTTCTCCTTGTTTGGTACTTTGACTGGTGCATGACTTTGAGGACAGGTCGCTAACCCCTAGATCACTTCCAGCTGGAAATCTCATGAAACCCACTGCAAGCTTAAGCGAGCTGCATTCAGGTCCCTCTGCGCTTGATACTCCAGCCACTGAGTGTCCGCAAAGTCCAGAACGTTGGCTTCGAAGCAGTCCCAAATGCATTTCCTCACGCTTCGAGCGGAAAAACGGAACCATGGAGCGTCAAGAAACCACCTATGCATTCTATGATCTGAGGGGTGGATGACCAGAAACCATGAATTGTTCACTACCAGTTGTGAAGGACATGGTCAATATGTTTCCGTCTTCAAGCTGGCAAATTCGCCCAACGATCGGTTGGGCTGATAGTTGCTTTGAGTCATAAGCATATGACCAGCACAAGCGGTGTTGCAGGTGAGCTTCAGATAGGCATCAACCTGCTCCTGGCTCGAGCCTCGGATGGGATCTGCCAAATGATCCTGGCGACATTGAAGGAAGCTGTCGCGCTTGCACAGCATGTAGACATAGCCTCCGCCATGGTTGGCATACCTCGCAAACGACATTTTCCATCCACTGGACTTTCTTCTACCCCACCGCCCCACCGCGCATTGTGTACTTTGTTTTAAGTCCATCTCAATAAGGAGTAAACAAACACCATCCTATACAAAGTAAGCCCCAAACAGAGTAGGCAAGCGAATGCGCGTGAACAATGTATGTGGCCTCTGCAGAACTAGGGCTCTAAGCCCTCAGCATATACTTCATGCCAACAATAACTCCACTTTTAGCCATACAAGAACCACCTCAAGAAATGGCCGCAAGTGTCTCCGCCTTCCAAACCATGGTATGAATGACCATGTAAAGCAGCTGTATTAACGTCACCATAGCACCAACTGTGAACCAATTACTCTGGATCTTCCTCACCCATCCGCCATCAACACGAATCACCTGTTGACGGATCCAGCTGCAGGTTGAAGGCCGTCTCCTGTTCCGTCCCCACGAGCCACTGCGGTGGCGTGACTTTCGGACCGCTGGGCTCTGCACCGCCCATGGTGGTTTCCCCAAAGCCCTCGGCCAGCTGGACACCTCCACAAGGTCTTTTGGACACTATTAGGTGGAGGCCATCGCAAGTAGTTTGGAGGCAAACGCTACTAGACTAGTAGCTCCTGGCCTTACTACTAGTAGTAAGGAGCTACAAGGTCTGTTGGACTTCAAACAAGTTTGTTTGTGACTGTCCAAGAACACCTGGCTCAATCCTGGTTGGGACCAGTGCTTGGTGTTGGTTGTCCACTGAAAGTGCAATGTGCGAACCTGGTACTTCTGATTACTTAACAGACTTAACACATTCATGATTCAGCGAGCATCATTATTTCTCCCGGTTCTTCGTTCTCTTTCCTCAGCAATGTACCTGCACAGAATTCGACGCCATGTGGGTTGTAGCAGCCTCAGCGGGTGGAGCAGAAACATGTTAGAAATTAGATCCCACTGTGAGTCATGATATGCAGTTGAAGGCCATCGCTCTTAGGGTGGAGGAAATCGCTAGCCATTGCAATTAGTTTCCCACTGTGAGTCATGATACCTGCTGTTGTCCACAATGAAAGGTTCCTAGTAGCGATGCCAGGAGCCCCTAGTAGCGTCCTTGCTCCTAGTAGTAAGGTACTTGTTACTAGAAGCGATGCACTTGTTCCTAGTAGCTTCTTGTTACTACTAGTAATGCCAGGAGCCCCTAGTAGCGTCCTTGCTCCTACTAGTAAGGCACTTGTTACTAGAAGCGATGCACTTGTTCCTAGTAGC